AGACAGATATATGATGCTCTGTGGCTTCCATAAAGCATTTTACACATTTTATATTCATATACAGTACAGTTCATGTTTACACACATCCAGTTACACTTGTGTGTGGACATAATTTCCCTTTGTTCATCTCCACAAGGGGGCAACACAGGCTGCACTTTCCTACAGGCTGTCTAGTAAGTACCTTACATTATAGCTGAAAATACTTTTTCACACAAAAGCATATATACAAGGTGCTAAGACGTACATCAACTTCAGTGTTGTTGTGTGCTTCGTCAAGCGTCATCAAAGGATACTAAACAACAGCACCCACCCCAACCACAGCCTGTTCCCCCCGCTGCCATCTGGGAAGAGGTACAGAAGCTTCCTGTGCTGAACCACCAGAATTCAACACAGCTTCTTCCTTCAGGCTGTGAGACTGATAGATTCATCCTCAGCACTTCATCATACAAAATATCTCAAAATATTATAACATATGAATACATTTTTATTTAGTTTTACGATTTGCATAAAGGGAACTCAATCATTGAATATGTTGGGTTTTATATTATTGTGATCTACACAATCCTGGTAAGTAAGAACAGACACAGTATTCAGTTTTTAGTGTTTGCAGTACTTTTGCAATGAAAACAAAGAACGTTAAAAAGACATAGGAATATTTTTGAAGTTGTTGATCTTCAGGACAGTTACTACAGTTGATTTGTGTGAAAAAGCATAAAAGCTGAAATCATAAGGAAGTAAATGCACCAAAGATCAGGCACGGGCAATAAAAAAAACATCACCCAAAGTCCAAGCAATAAACAAAACATACAAAAATGTTGTGCATCGGCTGCAAGCTCTGTGTACCTCAGCTTCTTGCACTCGCAGGCCTCCTCTACTGCGCTCTCCCAGGGGACCGTGAGCTCAATGATGTACACGTGCTTGAGCGAAGCTGACCACAGCACAAGGTCTGGTCGCAGGTTGGTGGACGCGATTTCAGTTGGGAAGCACAGCTTTTGGTTTAAGTCTACCAGCAACTTCCAATCACGTGCCCCGCTCAACTGCCCAGCATCTGGTCTTGAGGTGGTGAGACTGGCTTGACCCTTGCCCTCCCGGACAAATGTTGTTGCCTGCCAGCGGGATGATGGGGGTTGAAGGGCGTTCACACTCATCCGTCACGTTTCCAGCACTGCTTCAAGACACTTTAGCACCTGGTTGTGACGCCAGGTGTAAATAAGCGGCCTTGGTAGGCTGGTCTTGCAGCCCACTAAGATGTGCTTCAGTGTGCTGGAGTCCCCCATGCAGAATGAAGCACGTGGGGTCTTCCCCATACCACTGGCTGAAGGTTCTTTGGAGATGGCAGGACATCGTAAAGGCAGCCTTCATGTAAGCTTGCTCTGAACTGCTCCATTTCCCATAGCTCTTGCCAGGAGATCTTCCTCTTCTCCACTCCTTCCCCATGAGACATATACACAGCACCTTAGAAATAGTTTTACATCAGTGCACTTTTCATTTTTCATTATCCAAGTTTCTTTGTCTTTACTGCAACAAATATTTTCATTGTGAACTCTGTCACCTTCCTGTCAGTGTTTAAGACTTTAATATTTCTCACACAAAAGGGAAACAGGGGACTTACATGTTCAGGTCCCAGAGTGAACTCAAAGTATTCCAGGTTCTAAAGGAAAGCTTGTAAAGAAGTTTGTCTCATGATGACAAAATAAAAAAAAAGATTAACCAAGGAAAGAGTGGTAAAACTGAAAGCCAAATGTCTGACTTATTTGAAAAGGCAGGAACAACTTAGTACATGATGAGATAAAAAGTCTTGTGATCGTTGATGTCGAGTAACAGGGTAACTGTTACACAAATGAAATGAGAGAGAAAATGTGCCAGAAAGTACCAAATACACAAATAACAAATACAGTCAGGATGAGAGACATTTTTAGATTCTGTTGCTCTATATTATTTGTATATTACTTTAACACAATGTTGATTTAATAAAAAAAAGTGATATTTGTAAGTTTGTCAAATCTAAATTATTTTGATTCCTGAGTTTTAACTTAGTGTTCTACATTTAATCAGACTGACGTGTTAGCAGAACTTGTTTGACGTTCCAGTTTGAAAAGTACAAATGGTTGTAAAACTGGTTTAGTGTCTGATCAGCCTATTGTTCACCCTGGAGGACTAAATAAAACCTCTCTGTTTCATGTTTCATATTGTTTTGGATGAGCCGGTAGAAATGAAATTCTTCATTAAGAACATAAAAATATGTTTAGATGTTTTCTTTGTATTTTGATTGGCCTATGCATGTATCATGAAAAGAGTTAAATAACACACAGTATTTACCCCCTGAAAAACTAGATACCATCTGCTGGTGACATATCAAAATGACACATCCAGCATTTCCTCCCACATAATTAAACCTGGAGGTGAGTTGGAACAAAGTGCAGACGCCCATTGACAGCAATCAAAGGTGTGAGATCTCCGCTGGAAAACACACAAGTGGAGTATTTTAAGCAGGCAAAGGAAGAGACAGTAACTTGGTGAGTCCTGCTTTTGAAAAATATCTTCAATAACAAGATGGCTGAGAGAGTTCCTTCTTGAAGGTTTCCTGAACTGGCCATGTGTGTTCAGATGACTTTCAGGATCCTGCTGGTCTCTGAGCTGCAACCCACAACTTCTGTTCAAGCTGCCTGAAAACATTCTGGGAACAAGCTCAAAACAAAAACTGTCCCATTTGTAAAAAGAAATCCTCAAGAAGAAAATCTTGGGGTGAACATGCCACTGAAGGAACTGGCTGACTCCTTTGCTGCGAGAAAGGAATCTGGATCATCGAGATCAGAAAAAGGAAGAGAAGAAGGTGGAGGTGGTGTTGTGATAAACATCAAGAAGAGCCTAAATTGTTTCTGTAAGGATGAAGATAGAGCTGTGTGTTACTGTCTGTGATTTTCTTCTCCACGACGTCACAAGGTCGTTCCTATAGAACAAGCAGTCAGTGTACCTGAAGGAGCAGCTTGAAATCTGACTTAAAAGTCTCTACAGGACAAGAGGGACAAGATACAAAGCAATGGAGAAAACATACAATGAAGTGATTCAACACTCCCAAGAAGCAGCTTGTTGTCCACAGAGACGCAGATCAGAGCAGAGTTCAACAAGCTCCACCAGTTCCTGAAAGAGGGAGAGGGTCCAGACTGGGGCAGCTCGAGGGAGGAAGAGGAGCAGAAGGGGAGACTGTCGAGCAAGAGAGATGAAGGGGATGAGGAGCGAGATCTCCCTCTCTGTCAGACAGTATCTCTGCTGTTGAAGAAGAGCTGCAGAAAACAAACATGCCATTCTCCGCAGTTATAAACCCACTCAGACAGGCCAGAGTCCATGCTCAGAGTCAGACCACAGCTGGTCTCCAGGAGCGCTGATAGATGTGGCCAAACACCCTGGGCAACCTGTCGCTTCAGAGTCTGGGAGAGATGAAGGACAAGGTCCACTTCAGTCCTGTCATTCTGGACCCAAACACCTGCAAACCCCTTCTCTATCTGTCTGAATGATCTGACCAGTGTGAGATATGGAGACACAAAGCATGCAGCTTCCTGACAATGCCAGAGAGAAACACTAATTATCGACCTGTTCTGGGCTACTGAGGGTTTCAGCTCAGAGAAACACCAGCTGGGAGGTGGAGGTGGGAGATTCATCCTGACTGGACTATAGGTTTTGCTAAAGAGTCTGTTGACAGGAAGGGGGCACCGGTATGTCACACCAAAAATCTGGAATCTGGTGTTTATTGGCAGTGATATGGAGAATACACTGATGGTCCTGGTACAGTATTGTCACAGTGAACGAAGAGTCTCCAGAAGAATCAGAGTCCAGCTGGACTATGACAGAGGAGAAGGTGTTCCTTCTACGACCCTGAACACATGACTCACATCTTAACATACACAGACAATTTCACTGAGAAACTCTTTCCATATTTTTTTGTTTTCAGTTCTGGTGATGCTAAAACTGCTGATATCAAAATCTGTCAAACTGATATTTCTCTGTGAGGTTCAGGGATGTTAGTTGTTGTTTTGGGTGGTGTGTGTGTGTGTGTGTGTGTGTGGTCAGCTGACATAAAGTTTAAAGTTACACTGAGAGTATCATTGATATAGTATAACTAAGAAGCATTGTTCATCAATATCCTGATATTTTGTTCTTCTTCACCTTCTGCAGAATTGATTGGTGTCAAAAGTTGTTTGCTTACTGTTTTTACAGAAATTAATTATTCAAAGTGGTGTTCATGTAGGGTTCAGTATTAGTTTATAGCCAAAATGTAAAGGACGCATCTTGTTTTCAGTCAGTCCGTCACAATGTAGTGTGTATGGATGCTTGAATTATTTGTTCACTTTGGGGCCTGTCGGACACAATGGTGGTTTTTGATGTTATTGGCTCTTTTGATGAGTTTTTTCAATTTGGATATGTAAACGTACACATGTATCACTGTTATTACAATCAAACCAGTGTAGTCAAAAATCATTTATACATACTTTAGCCATAATTTGTGATTTAATAATAATAATTTGCTCCTGATTGTGATGTTTAATATTGCATTTGCTTATATTTAATCCAATTGTGCTCATGCTCCAAAACTAAAGAAATAAAGGTTTTATTTTGGATGTGATGTGATGTAAATGCCAGGGGGCTTTGAGGCTGCGCAATGCACATACTGAATGTTTTTGAATTGTCACACCACTGCCTTGACCTACACTACACTTAGTTTAGTTACTTCACAGATTAAACACATAATGATTTTAGTACTTTCACTTTTGATATTTTGTTCTTTTACCTTTACAGTTTCTTAAAACTTTGAATGCAGGACTTTTACTTGTAACAGAGTAGTTTTATAGTGTTGTATTGCTTTGATTTAAGTAAAGGATCTCCATTTTTCTTGTATCGATTTTTTCTTCAATAAAACTTCAGGCAAATTTAAAAAATGTTTTCATTCACTTCCACATCCTGAGTTGTATGTTTGTAGAGGTGCTCTTATTCTGAAACCCCAAGCGGAAGTGTTATGTCTGCATCCTCTCTGGTTCACAGCGGTGAAGTAAACAAACGATCTCAGGTATGAAAACTCGTGTTCAAACATTTGTACTGAAAATCAGATGTCTTTTGTACAGAAGTCATTTTGACCTGCTCATTTTGAAGTCGTTGTCAGTTTAAGGAATAAATGAGTTTATACGAATTTTACAGCAGGCATGCTAACAGCGAAGCTAACAGCTAATCAGTGTAACGTAGCGAGAGATGGGACAGTGCTAACATTAGCTGCTGTTAAACTGCATGTTGTTAATGTGCACAAAACTACAACGGTTCAGCTCTAGCTGCCTGTTTCCTACTGCAAGTGTGAAAGTGATTTGAGGCAAACATGTAAGGTAATGTTAGTTAGCATCTTGCAGATGTAAGACTTCATTGGTCGCTTCACCCAAACTACTAAAACACATTTAATGTAAAATAACCCTAAAAGTTCTTCTAGTTGACAAACTAGACCAAGCATAACTTTGTTTTTAAAGTGGGTATTTCTTCGTTGATCCCCTGAAAACTGCTCACAGTGAGCTCTATAGATAATTCAGTGACTAACATTGTTTCTATAAAGACATTTTGCTGGTGATTTTCCTTCTAATGTGATTTTTCTGTGCTGTGAGTATCATATGTTGAATTTAATCAAATCCATGGTAATGGTGTGGAGTAAGAAACTGTAGACCTACAGGAAGTCTCCACAGTTAGACACTACAATGGGTAAGTGAGGAAATATGTATTCATTCATTTGGTTGAGCAGACGCTTTAATAGCCAACTACTAAAACCTGTTTGACCAAAGTCCACCTCCGCTCAAACTTTTATTTTACTTATTGGTACTTTGCGTGCAAATAATGTGAGAGAGTTTGACACTAGAAGGTTGTTTTCACATTCATCTGGTAAATGATAAATAGACTTGGCCCTGTACTTGTATAGCGCCTTTCTAGTCTTCCAACCACTCAAATCACTTTTACACTACGTGCCACATTCACCCTTTCACACACATTCACTCAGTGACGGCAAAGTCCATCAAACAGAAACATCAAAAAAATTATTATTTTCTCACACTCTGAGTCAGAAATCTCCACTTCAGTAGCACTCACTTACACCAAACCCTCCTGTTTTATTCCCTTCTATATTCGGCTTTTTAAAGAGGGATTTGTTTATTACTGTTTTTGTTTTTTGAGTGATAAAAATACATATGCATAATTCCCTCTATAAAGACTTTTGACTCTAATATAACAAAATGAAACAAGAATCTTGAACCTGGCTCTATCTAATGTTCAGATTTTTGTTCTGGCAATGTATGCAAAATAGCTAATAGCTCATTTTTAATTAGATAATGCTTCATTTTGTTTTAATGTTAGTAATCAGCTGGGGCAGTTTAATGGTTTTTTATATCACCATTCATTTTTACGATGGTCACCTGTAGTGTCTCCTGTTAATGAGAGTTGCTGATATGTCTTTTCCTTCATCAAGTCTCTTAAAATTAGGGCTGGGTGATATGACCTGTTTCTTTCACATCACACCTGATTTACGATTTTCTTTTTTGAAAAACAGACTACAAAAGACACCATATCTTTGGCAACGTGAAACACCGCTGCATCTGGTATATCTTATCCCTGGGACAACTCCCTCTGGATACTATACCATGGGGAAATGATACATGTTCTGTGTGGATGAGTGATTTAAGTGCATTGAGTGCAATTTGTTTTAAAATGTAAATTGTGTGAAATTTAAATGTTAATGTAAAAAACGTACTACTATGTCTGAAGCCTAATAATAGAATAAATCAATAAATGAACTCCTCTAGCTCTTTCCCACTTGTTATGTTCTTATTTATGAACTGTAACCACCATCTTCTGCTACGCATTTACAGACATCTCCCCAAACACACAGGTGTATTATTGTATCAACTCAACTCCCATATTAAGTGTATTGCCTGAAAAAGGGAGGGTTTTGGTGTGTTCAGTACCTGACATCTTTGCACTAGTAAATAAATGATGAAGATAAATAAAGATACTCAAAAAGTTATG